ACACACACACACACACACACACACACACACACACACACACACACAGAGCTTCTTGTCTAAATAGTGGCATGCCTAGTTTGGCCTGGGTCCCTGGGACATACCAGCTCAACGCTAGCTGGTCATGAATCCTGGGGCTTAGACTTTTCATGGAACAGTTTGCTTTGTTTTCTTATGCTTTTACAGAGCCCTCTGCCTTCTCACCAATTCTGCTCTGCTGTTGACAACTGCGAGATGAGCATTCGCTTGAGCACAGTCTGCCTGGCTCTCATCCCATGTTTTTTCCAGGGCAGAAAAGTAGTAGCAATTTCCCTCATAAAGGACCCATCTTATGGAGCAGCCTGTGGAGGATGGGAAAAACAGGAGGATACTGTACATAATCCGCACGAAGAGACAGCAGTCCCCATCTTGTCTGCAGTGGTTTTTTGGCCAACTCACGTGTTTTCCCTCCGGAGATGATATTGGGGACTTTTTCGAAGATCTGCGAAACTGATCACAGAAAGACTCTTATTATTTAGGAGAAATATCCCAAATACTAAAAGAGCTGTATGGGCTTAAATGCACTTATTATCTAACTGCAAATGGCAAGAATGCTTTGGAAAAGTGTATTCCAAATTTTTACTTTCAAGGAACACTTTCTGTATTGGTCCTGGAAACCCTGTACATTGCAGAAGGTGTTTTACAGGAACCTTCAATTCGCTGGCTGTATCTGTCAGGTCATGTCATAGGAGAAGGAGAAGATGAAGTGATTAGGCACACTTTTCAGGAAATGGCTCAAGGCATCAGGAACAAGAGCAGGAATACAACAGGAATTAAAATGTACAAAAAAATGAAACAATTCAAAAAGGCTAAAACCAGTAAAGTTACTCCAGGACTAAGCTATAGAATGAGAGTGTTAAGTCAAATGTAACTCAGAGTGTCATGTAGTGACACTTATTCACACATGCACAGCAAGGACAGCCGCTTGGCAGCCATACAAGCTACTCCGCAGCCACAGGCCACCACAACACTAAGCTGGGGGCTGCCTTGTTTCTGCCTCCTGAACCCTCCGTTAAGGGCGCTGCTGCCTGGCATGCCATTGTGCAAGCTCTTAGTCTTCCATGACTTTTGGAGCTGCAACTTTGCCAGGGGCTGTGAAAGAGGCAGATTGACGTATTCTTTTTTCTTTGAAAGTGGTGAAAGTTGACTTGATGCTCTGGAAAATGTCCATTTTGAGGAAGCAGGAAATGGCAGTCATGTTTTTATTGTGCAAATGGAGCCAATGATTAGCAGCAGTTATGCAGCCTTGAGAAATTTCATTAGTTGGTTGAAGAAAAATGTTCTCTCTTTTGAGAAAGCAGAAGTAACCCATTGCTGAGAGTCAGTGGAAGTTCAAACTTGGGAAAGGTTTAGAGTTTACAGGTACTGGGTTCTTTCTACCTGGAAAACCTTGTCGCTATTTCTTAATACAATTTCATGGCTGGAAAGAGCTTCTGTATTTTTTCATAGCATTTAAATGCTACCAGGAATGCTACCAAACAGAGGACTCCAAACAGTTGTAAGGCATTATGTATCCTTTCTGCTTTTTCAACTGTAAGAGATGCTCCTAGTGTGGGAGAGCCCACAACCTCCCTAAGACATTAGGTTCATTGCTGTTCTGCTCCTCGAATGAGGTTAGGCAATTGTACTATAAATGACTTCTCTGAAAACCATTCTAGAAGTAGACACAGGGCAAGCACATTTCTGTATGGTTTCCAAAACCTGTCTTGGAGCAGAAGACAGGAAACATGCATGCGTATATATCATTGCGGGAGTGAGGTGGGCTTCCACAATCCACTAGGACAGCCACTGGCCCAAGATTTTTCCTTTTTTTTGGAGGGGGTGCCTGACTAAATGCCCTGCTCTAACTATAATCTTGTATACAACTGGACAGCTTTCTGAGAGCAATGGATTGACTTGGAGTCCTGCACTGAGCAGGGGGTTGGGCCCTCTCGCCCCTCCAACTCTACTATTCCATGATTCTAGCTGCCCAGAATATTTTCTCATTTTAATTTTTAATCTCAGTGATTTAATTGCCACATGAGTTTCTCCAGCAGCACAGCTAACAGATCAGAGCCCTCTTTTAAATACATGCATTACCCACTGAAAATTGGCCTATGTGGGAGAGGAGCCCTTCCCCCACACTGCAGTCATGATTGGATTCTGCCCCTTCCGCATTATTAGACTGTTTAAAAACAGCAGGAGGTCTAGCCATGACCTCAGAGAATCAGTTTGGGCTACTGGGAGTTCCATACTGTCCACTTTGCCATGAAATTCCCTGCCTGCTACTTAGAAAAAGTCCCTAGAACAGGGTTCTTGAATCTCTTCCCTCCAAATGCACTTTTGGAGAAGCACCTGAGGGACTCACACTCCATTGGTGGGTGATACTAAAGGCAAAATGTGTGGGGACAAAGGCACTGGGGCAGCGCCAGAATACATCCCAGATCCCCAGTGCGGTGCACCTTTAAGTGCTTACGGCCAGTACCTAAGCCTTAAGAGAAGAAACGTACATTTTTAGAATGGTAAAAGGGCAGTGGCCTTGTAAAAGCCAGGGGACCACAGCACATCGCGGCCTGTGGGGAAAAGGCTTGGCCATCTGGTGAGCCTGCGGGGGCTGGATTTGCCAGGGCGGCGGTTGCAGTGCTGTGCTCCTGCCTTGGAAAGTGTGCCTGGGATTGCTGTAAGCTAAAAGCATACAGAATTGCAGCTAGGTAAGAACTGGTTCTGGAAGGCCAAGCTAATATCTGGGCTGAGTTGTGAAACTGCATTTCTAACCCAGTCCGCTCTGCCTTGATGATGTCCCTGCTATGTTTCCTGGTATCTTGCAGGTAATGCAAAGAAGTGACTTGAGGGCCTTCTGCAAAGAGCCTAATCTTAACCAAGATGGACAGGAGCCACATGAATCAATCTCTCTCTCTCTCTCTCTCTCTCTCTCTCTCTCTCTCTCTCTCTCTGTGTGTGTGTGTGTGTGTGTGTGTGTGTGTGTGTGTGTGTGTGTGTGTTCATGTAGAAACAGGAAGAGAACACATGATCCTGTTGCTTACTTCCAGTCTCTTGATCTGGAAGTGCTGTCGCTTCAGAAATAAGATTTTGATTTGCAGAGCGCATTCCCCCTTTGATCTTTTTCTGTTAGCAGTAGCTTTCAGCAACTTTCTTTCTGTTTCTTTAAAAAAAAATCTTGAATAAAACTTTGAAATGATAAGAAAAAGGCAAACTTTTGGCAGCTTGCACTTGGGTGTGGAACTGTTGCTGAAAGAACTGTCATGGGTGAAATGCAGAAAACGACTGAATCATAAGAGATGTACAGAGTAAAGGCAGATTTTATTTAATTTGCATTCACTAAAGTCTGAAGACTACTCAAAAAAACAAACAAACAAACCAGATTCAATGTGATACTCACAATATAGAAGAAACAGTGATGTGCCTGTAAGTTTTATAACCACGGTAGTCACAAGTACACCCACAAGGTTCCAATTCATCTTACCCTGTAGGTTGGGACACCAAAAATTTAGGAGAACACCTCTTTGCATGTAGGCAGAAGACTTCCAATATGTCTCTAGAACTAGTTGGATCTGAAATATATCATGTATATCTGAGGTCAAGTGAGGTGTGAGGGCACCAGAGAAACTGAACATGCATAGAGAGGTATAGACACTCCTTCAGTACAAACAAACAATCAATTCAGTACAATGCAAACATACAAAGCAAACCAATTCTGGTTCAACTTGCAGTTGAATCATGGACTTTCCAATTTGTCTTCCATGAGCTCAGCTTTCCAAAGATCAAGAAGGCAAGCAAATGCTCTAAACCCAAAAGGAGAGTTCTTGTCAATTTGCTTGCAGGAAGGCAGGGGCATGATAAGATCTATAAAGATCTTAAAGATCTATGTTACACCCTAGGGTTGCCGGGGAAAAAAGATTTGGCTTGCTGTTGCATCTTTTTCAGCAGGGTTTGGGCCCACGTCCATGAGAATCGCATGCCATTGAATTTGATGGAGCTTATGGTGAAAAGGATCCCAGCCTCAGGAAACAGAACAATGACTACATGTGAGAGATGATGTGGCTTGTATCCAACCTCAGTTAGTCATATCTATGCCCCCTGATGTCCCTTCACAAAAATTTGGCCAGGAGCAACCCTGTAAACACAGAAACAAAAGAAGCTTACCTGAATGAAAAGACGATTTTTGTTTTTCTTCCTTCAGTGAGTGTTTGTGGAGCTTTGGCTGTAACTTTAGTTGCAATGTTTCCTTCCTCTTGGCTTTCCCTGAAGCTCTGCTTTTCCCCCCGCCCACGCATGGAGAATTATTCACTTGTTCCTCTGTCCGCAGAAGCTTTGTGGGATGATTCTTCTAAGGAGTCTTTAGAAATGCATGATCCAAACTTCCCCTTTTACAAACCAATGGCTCCTTTGGGTTGGATCCGGGCTTAGTAATTTCAATTAGTTCATTCAATGAAATGAAATTGATCCGTCTGGTTTTAATATAACTCAATCTGAATCCACCTGTTACTTTTGGAGCGGGGCAGGAGCAGAATGTCAAAGTGCTGTTTGATCTGTTCTAGATAATCCCAGATGAATTTCACAAATACCTGAAAACAAATAAGTGTTTCTGCACTTTTTGAATATACATCACCAAACGCTGGCAATGGTATTTGGGGCTCTGTCATTTACTGGCATTTCCCTGAGTTTTTGAGTTCAACTTGTTTGGAGATATGGGTAATCGCATATAAATGTTGACACCGGATTTCAGATAGGTGCAATCCTATCCCACATTTCCCAGCATTTCCCAGCCAGCCACTTTCTGTTTTTCCCCAACCTGGCTAGGGGATGCTGGGAATTTTGACTTTTTTCCTCTCTTTTGCCTTTTTTGTATTCTTCAACTTTAGTCTTATGCAAAATTATCTGGAAATAAAAACCATTGGTCATAATGGGGCTTACTTCTGTGTTAAGCCACACAAAATATCGTTCTCCTTCAAACATAGATATAAACTGAATATGTCAAAAGGCAAGGACACATAGTTTATCTTTTTACATAGGCACTTTCTTTTCTTCTCTAGTCTATCAAGCTACATCTTCAGGGAAATTGAGTGTTGTCACATTTCTGTCCTTTGCAAGAAGCTTGGGATGAGGCCTAGGGACTCCCCCCAGTCTCACAATAACCCTGTGATGTGACTGGCCAAGGAAAGATCATTATGGGCAGGAAGAAAATAGGAGAAGACATTTGCTGTTACATTTCAGCAAAAGCAAAAGGTGAGGTGTATCTAAATCCTATTTTCGCACACACACAAATTAAAATAGCTATAAGGGAATCCGAAAGAGCTGTGGAAAACCAGTGAAATTGTTTAGGGATGGGTCACAAGTCCTTAAGTTGCCCCCAGGTGTTTAAAAAAGGCAAAGAAAAAATGTCACCTATAGAAAATCAAAGATGAATTTCTATATTTCTTCTGAGTAAATCCTCATGTGTGTAAGGATAAACATGTTCCTGGATTCCAGGGTGAGCAGCAGAGAGTGACATAGAAGGTTTAATGGGAAAAGAGTGGATTGGGAAAAGATTGAACACCTCCCTTTCCTTGGCAGCTTTGGCACTGGAAAAACATGTTGTTTTTTCCTTAATAAAGGAAGCTGTAGGAGTTTTCATGTATGAATTTACCTGTAATGTATAGTTTCTTCCTCATATATTTGTGTTAATGAGAGCAAGTCATGCACTGTTGAAATTCACAGGATAAGACAGAATTGGCTTCACACTAGTCATTGACTGTTCAGATGACATGGTAACTCCTACTTTAGGACTGAGTGTGAGTTGTTCAACTGTGGAGATCTTGCTGAAACATGGATTATCAGCTGAGTTCAGACAACAGAATAACCCATGTTTCAATAACAACCCACACTCAATCCATACTCGACCCCTGAATGTGGGTGACTTTTGTGTTGTTTGAACTCAGGTATTTTCTCTGGAAGTGATCTCCTTGACACAATTTGTTGCTTGTCGCGAAGTCGTGTCTGACGCATTGCAACCCCATGGACAACATTCCTCCAGGCCTTACCGTCCTCCACCATTCTCCCCCACCCCCAGAGTCCACCTAAGCTCACGGGACTGCTTCAGTGGCTCCATCTAGCCACCTTATTCTAAGTGTAATCATTCTAATCTAGCCTCCTCATTCTCATTCTTCATGATAACTAATTGTGTCACCTCATTGACACAATTAGTTATCATGAAGGAAATTCAGGCACTGCTTCCAGACTGCTGCATTCTAGTATTTTCCTGTTTGTGTGTGTGTGTGGGGTGGGGGTGGGGATTGACTCCCTCTCCAAATAAACACCTTTTAGCATGGGGTGGGCAACTCATGGTCCCTCACCTGATATTGGACTGCAACTCACACCATCCCATGATTTTAGCTATGCCCGCTAGTTCTGTTGGAACTGCACTGGGGCAACTTCTGGAGGGCCACGACTTGTCCAACCTGGTTTTAAAGTACTCCTGCAATGAACTGGGAGCTGAATTACAGAGGTGGTTTCATGCGGGACTTAACTTGACCATATATACCAAAAATATATCCAGTGATGCCATCACACAGGCAAGATCCCACATGTACTCAGAAGTAAGTTCTCTTTAGCTTCTTCTTGCAACTGTCCTTTCATTATTTGTTTATTGCATGTATACTTCACCTTTACTCTGACAAGTGATACATAGATAGTTTCCCAACAACCTGAGAGGTAGGACAGCTTGAGAGATGATAATTGGTCTGAGGTAATCTAGTGAGCTTCATAGATAAGTGAAGATTTGAACTTGAGTTTCCTTGTTGTTGGTCAGCCAATCTAACCAGTGTACCACACCAGCTCTTGTGCTTTCTTTTATGTTTTACCTGTTTTATCTTTTTCTGTTCACTACTCAAAATCTCCACAGTGGAATATGAAGCAGTGTATAAATCTTAGACATAAAGAAATAAACAAATGTAGCTAATTAGTTAATTCCTGTTCACCAGAGATGGCTAAATTATTAGTTAATAGGCTCTTTTTTTTGCAGTACTTTTTTATTAAATTTTAAAACAGTACTAAAAACATCAATCATCACAAACATCGGAACTACTGAGTCAGCCCCTTACTACTTATCTTTTAACATTCTGTAATCATATTCAGATCCATTTATGGAATCTTAAAAAACATTTTTAGGTCTAAACCAAGTCCTGTTTCTCCAGCCGATAATAAAAAAAAAGGTTCCAAATTTGATAGAAGTCACTATCTTCTTTCTCCTTCTGCGGTAAGATCAGTCCATACATTTCTTACAGAGTCCCGTTTTCCTTGACCAATATTAAAAGAAAGACTCTCCAAATTTGATAAAAGTCACTATCTTCTTTCTTCTTTGATAGAAGCTTCAGTCTAACCAACTCTACACAATTCCAGATCTTTTCATTTTTCTAATATTAAACAGATAAACTCCTCATTATAATAGTTACAAATACGATCAAATACATTTTTTGCTTACTAGTATTCCAGTCTAATATCCACTAAAAAGGAAAGTGAAAAAGAAGAAAAGTTCCAAGCTTAAAAAAGAACTAAAGACTTTTAACCCAATTTATGTTCACATGTGTAACATCCATTTAGCATCTTTAAGGATATCTAATCTATTTAACGACAACAATTATCTATGATATCTTTTAAACAAATTTTCTTTAAGCTAGTTTATTAAAGTTTCATCTAACTTACACTTCACTTAATCACATACAATTAACTCCTTATAAGAGTCCAGCTCCTTACAATCTTTAATATATCTCGCTTGTAAAAAGAAATCTATTTAGTACAGCTCCTCCTACTCCTATAATAGTCATTTTCTAGTGTAGCAATTCAAAGACAAAAGAGTCATGCAACTTAGCTTTTGGTCATTCATTTTTAAGATAAAAAAGGAAAAAGAAAAGAATTTCTCATTTCCCCTTATATCACCCACAAAGGAGAGAGAGAAAAAGGGGGGGGGGGGACTCCACTCCTATACTTCTCCTTCTTAGTTCAGTTTAAATCTTATAATCTCTTCATAATTCATTTAAATGTAGAAAAGCTTCCAGTTAAAATCGTATACCTTAGCCTTTCCATACCACAATAAACATGCCAACCCATTTATACCATTCCTTTTTAAGATTTCTTTTTTACACCTCTTCCAAACCGCTTTTGTTTTAATAGGGTTTGTTGAAAATCAATATTTTTAAACTTTGCATCTTCAGCCCATCTTTCTCCCCTTGGTGTTATTTGTTGAAAATCAACCCACTCCAAAGTCTGTATTTCAATCTTCACTATTTCTTGCTTTATCTTCAGTGATTGTAGCATTTGCTGTAGGTCAGTATTTATTCCACATGGCTGTGTTTTTTGCTGCAAATCAACCTTCACTGTTTCTTCTTCTTCAGAATCAATTTTAGTTCATTCAGGATCCATCCATCCTTCAAAAAAAATTCCTTCCTTTAGTGGCCAAATTTGTTTCTTTTTATCCACAGTTTCAAA